TTCACCTTAACACAACTGGCAGCCAATACACAAGTAACTATCCTTATTGCAGCACAAAATTAGATTACTCAAAGCAAAACCAGAAATCAAAAGTGGCGTCAAGCAACTCTCTAGGTAGGATATTTTCCAGAAGAGTTTGTGCTCAAAAACCCACCAGCATATATATATATTTTTTAAGATTTTTTTTATTGGATATTCAGATTTACGGAGAGGGAAGGAGAGACAAAGAGAGATCTTTCATCCACTGATTCACTCCCCAACTGGCCCCAACAGCCAGAGCTGAGCTGATCCAAAGCCAGGAGCCAGGAGCTTCTTCTGGGTCTCCTGCGAGGGTGCAGGGTCTCAAGACTTTGGGCCATCCTCTACTGTTTTTCCAGGCCACAAGCAGGGAACTGGATGGGAAGTGGAGCACCAGGACACGAACCAGCACCCATATGGGATCCTGGTGTGTGCAAGACTAGGCTACTGTGTGGGCCCAAAAGCCCCCCAGTGTGTAAAAACAAGTTCACTGGTGGAACTGTTGTTGTGGTACAAGAGGATACAAGCCACCATCAGAACACCCGTTAAACAGTCCCAGCTGCTCTGCTTCCTATCTAGCTCCCTGCTAATGAGCCCAGAAAAGCAGATAGATTCCAAGTGCCAGGGAGCCTGACACTCACATGGAAACCCTAATGCAACTCTTGCTCCTGGCTTCTGTCTAATCCAGTTGCACCTGTTGAGGTCATCTGAAGAGTGACCCAATGGATGGAGCCACATGTGCATGCAAACATACTCTGTCTGATGCTCTGCTTCCAAAATAAATAAATCTGAAAGACAAAACAAAATAAAAAACAAGTCTACTGGTACTCTATACTAAAAGGTCAGCTCAAAGAATCCAGATTCACTTAGTTTTGCAGATTCTTCATCCAAACACAATTAGTGGACAATGTGGGAGGTCAATGGTTTCACCCTGTGTTCAAGTCCCCTCCTACCCATCCGCCCCCTTCCAAAAATTAGAAAACAAGCCACCAGTCTCCAAACAGGATACAAAATTTCAGCCTACAGGATATTTTCATACTTGAGTTATAATACACCATTGAAATGAAGACGAATAGTTGACAGATTAAAAACCCACTGGATAGAGAATTTAATACCCAGCATTAACATATACAGTCAAGTCCAAAATCTTTCAACTGGGCCACAAACAACATCACTGTCTATTTGGTGTGGTGGGTAGAGTCTGCTGTTTTCTCCTAGCTGTTCCCTCTTGCCATTTGCTTGTTAACTAAAGACTTTGCCTTGCATTTTGGCTAAGATGCAGTAATTCAGTACCAGATTCTATTCCATCCCCTTCATTTCCCTACAACTGCTCAGAAATTTCTATTTAAGTTGGTTCCGATAATCATATACAGGCCCTGGTAAAGAGCACCAGAAACTAAAACAAGTAACAAATCCTCCACCTCTTAAGTTGTCTTTCCACACATGAAATATTTTATTTGGAATTTCTAAACTCAGTTTCCTAAGACAACCCCATCAACATTTAAGTCTCTCAACTGCTTGGCTCAAAGAACCAATTCACTCAAAGAACATGCTAGTTACTGTTGTGGGGTTCAAAGGAAGAAAAAAGCATATTCTTTCTTTTTTGGCCCACTGTGATATGGCTGAAGAGGACCAAATCAAGAAGTCTTGAGACTCTCAAGTGGACAGTCTGGTTAAGGTGAGGCAGAAAAGTAGCCAGACTGACTACTGGAAGCAAAAGTAGGTTAATCCCTTGGTTATATGCCAACCCAAAGATGCCAACATAGTGGAACTGAGTCCCACAATAGTCATTATCTAATGTAAGCCACTGAATGAACTTTTAGCACCAACCAACACCTCAGCTGAGTGTTATTAGTCATTGAGAGAACTAGACAAGAGTGGAACTATTGCAACATCAACTCTGCCTCTAACAACAACAACAAAAAAAACCTGAGACTTCAGTCCTGATGGTCATCTTTGCAGACCAACAGAAACGTATTATTAATACTGACCCTTCAACCTTAAATTCAGGCATAGCAGGAGGCAAAGGACTCCTAGCATAGGAGTATATTCAAAGTACTTACTATGCAATTTTATATAGGAGTACAAAGTGCTTACTATGCAATTTATACAGTAGTATATAAAACAAAATACAGAAAAGACTATCTCCTCAGTTGAGTATTTCTATGAATGTCCCAAGACATGGCATGAGATTTGTCTGCTAAAAAAGATTGGACTGACTTCCCTCTTTTCCATTCTCAATAGAGACTTTTAAACATCACAGTAATCCAAGATCACATGCAACAATCAGGCAATAAAATTAATCAAATTGGGGCATCACTTTGATTTCTTCGCCACAGTAATGCTGAGCCCCCCTTTGCTTTCTGCCTCGTAGCACTTCCCTCTATCCACTTTGTTCACTGAGTTCTGGCTATTACATCCCAAATAGCAATATCTTCCCAGTCCCTGGAACTTGCCAAACTCACTCTAGCCAGTTTCAACATCAGCTGTTCTTGCAAGATTCCTTCCCTTATCTCTGCATGGTGGTTTTTATTTGAAGCTCATTTTAAGTGTCACCTCCTCAGAAAAGTCTTCCTTGGCTGCATCCCAGACACTTTCTATATCACTCTTATTCTCAGCACTTAATAAAAATCAGATTTGCTTTTATGTCTCTGTCCCATCCCTCTACTATACTGATTTAACCTCTTCGAGAAGGCAAACCTTTTGCATGTGTCCACCATTGTGCTCAAAAACCTGGCTAATACTTAGCCACCAGCCAACAAATATTTGCTGAATGAATGAGTTCTGGATTTTTTTTTTTTAATTTGATGGCAAAACATTTCAAATCAATTAAGATGAGAACAGCATTCTCTTATTGTATTTCTATGAAATATCTAAACACAGCTACTTGTGTAATTAAGGCATTAAATCTGCTTTATCAAGCCTAAAAGCTAAGCTACACATGACAGGACTTTCTTCTAGCATCAGAACACCACCATACGATACTTTTTTCTAATATGCATATCAAGCTTGGACAATATTTATGGACACTTTCAAACCAAAGGGCCCCTAAAATTTAGGCACTATCCCAAAGTTATTTAGAAAACAGTTTCACGTAAGATGATGTCCAAACAACACATCAACATGAAAATGAGAATCACTATACTTCATCCTGAAATTTGTACATGGAACAGGGTAACGGAGTTGTACTTGCTGCTTTATTAAACCAACAGAGTATCAACAAAGAGACCTCCTTTCCAATCGTTCTTTCGGTTTTCCAAATATTTCCTTTGGAAGTGTTTTTGGCTTGTATTCTTTAAAACAAAATTATCTCTCATTTTAAGACCACCTATATACACAAAGAAAAGCTCAACCAATTAGAGGAACATGAGCACAAGCAGAATGTGTCACTGAAGGCGCTGAGTGCCAGACACACACGGAGAGAAAGATAAAAGAGCTATTGTCCAATTGTAGAAACAAAAAAAGTAATATGGGGCTTTCTGTTCTGTGAAGTGCATCCATGCAGTGTGGGTGGAGAGAAAACACAGGAATCCAGAATCAGCATAGCATCAAATCATTCTGGAAAGAGGTGACAACACGTAAATTCCTCACACACACAGAGTAGTATTTAGAGCAAGAGACCTCGATTCCCCTGCCAGGATACCATTTAGGCAAAAAAAGAAAAAAAAAAAAAAGGTTCTGGAATTCCAGCATTCATAAAAGCAAACGCTCCCGACCACCAGGAACTACGTGGAGAGGTACTCCCAATGTGACACAGCTTGTGACTGAAGTACTACTAACAAAGCTCGCACACAAGATCTGGGAAAGAGGCTCAACACCAAATTCAAAAGAGGCAACCAATATTAAAGTGGCATAAGGAAAGGGAAACACACACACACACTCACACACACACACACGAGTGTCACTCAGCCACAGAGAATTAAAGTGGAAACGAGGGGAGGATGAGGGGTGAGGGGGAGTGGAAAAAACAATACATTTGTCACCCTGTCCCACTTCCTATCCAGGATACAGGCACAGCCTCCAGCCCCATTCCCTCACAGATGGGGACCGTTTCTAGCAAAGGTGCACAGAAAAAGGCCTTCAGGTCGGAGCCCCTTAATTCCAAGGCTGTTAACGATTAAAGAGAAGGATGGGGGCGGGGAGGCAAACGAGGGCGGAGGGAGCCGGAGACTGACCCACCACCTCCCGCCCTGGGGTCCTACCTCACAGCGCTTAGCCGGGGACTTGGGACCAGAGTCTGTACCCCGTCCAGGGCAGCTCCGGCCCCGGACCCCCACTGCCCGGGCTGGGAGGTGCCGGCGGTAAGGGAGAAGGGGCAGTAGGTAAGTTTTCAGAGCCCTGCGGCTGACACGCCACAGGCTCCCCTCACAGCCTCTTCTTCCACAGGGGCCAGTCCAGACAAGGCGCTGATTTCCACTCCTCCCTTTCCAACCCCCTTTTCTCGAAAGAACCCAACCCCCGCCCCTTCATCTCTCAATGCCTACCCCCCCTCCTCACTTTTCCTCAATTCCCCCCCTCCCCAAACTCACAGCTGCTCCAGAGGTTCCTCCAGTCAAACCCTTTCTGGAAACGACGGCGGCCCGGCGGGTCCAAACCACCTACCATCCCCGCTCGCGTTTCCAGGATCCCTACCCCCGCCGCCGCCGCCTCTTCTGCCACCACAGCCGCCGCCTCCTCTTCATCTGCGGCCCACCGGCGGCAGCCTTCCCGAAGCCCCGCCCCCTCCATCGCCTCCTGCATCATCACTTCCGGTAACCCCGCCGGCCGCCCGCTCCGGGAGGGAGGATGAGAGAGGGGCGGGGAGGGAATGGCTAGAAGATTGCGTCACGACGTTACACGAAAACGTACGAAGCCGTCGCCAAGTAAGGGCAAGGCCGTAGCAACGGGGAGGGAGAGGTAGGAGGAGCTGAGCTAGACCATTTTTGGGGACTGGAATGAGGTGGGAAGAGTTACGGAAGGGGTTAGGGGAACACAGAGGAAGGATGAGTTTTCTATATTGTTGAGTGAGACACAGAATGGGGTAGGATTTGAGGTTTGGGGAGACTCTAGACTACCTCTGACCTGTCACTCATGCTCCCACAGAAGTCCGCCGGTGGTTTAGTCCGGCCTGGCCTACCGGACCTGCCCAAGCTCGGTGGGCCGCGGCTCAGCAAGGTTCTTGGTACCGCCTCCTCCCAGCCCGCCGGAGGCTGCCGCGCTTCTGTGGGTGGGGGAAGGCAGAACTGACGCAGAGTGAGTGCAAGCGATGGAGACGCGGACTCCTGGCGCGGGAGACTGGGGGAGGGGGTGGCGCCCCAAGGAGCAGGAATGGGGTGGGGGTGCGGCGTTGCTAGGAGACGCGCTTGTGTGACCCCCCCACCCACCCACCTCGCCAGGGCGGCTCGGTGTCCACGCCACTGGTCCCTGGGGAGCTGCCTCAGGAAAGTGTCCCGCGCGCGTGCCAGGAAAGGGAAGCTTGGTTTGGAACCACTCTCTGAAAGCTTTTGTAGATTTTTGGGGCGGGAATTCACAAATGGAAATGGGACACGGTAGGGAATCATTCCAAGGACCTAGGGGCGTCTGTCTAGGGAAGCTAGACTCAAAGGAGACCCCGTTAGGAAAGTGGACACTTTGTTGGACAGTGAGCCAGCTTCTCAGCTCCTTCGATGGGCACATTTGAGAACAGGAATGAAGCATACGCCTCTGGTTGTCGTGCGGGAGAGTTCGCAAGTGAATGATAAAGGTGTCAGCCAGTGAGAAATGCCTCCAGGATCAGTTGAAGTGATAGACGGTGGGGTCCGAGGGCCGCTCTGAATAAGAGAAAGCTGTTGTTGAGAGGAGGACACCAATGCAGGGAATGATCTTTGTGGATGGAGAATAGAGCCAGTGGGAGGGATTTTAAGGTAGACTGTGAGTAGGCCAGGTGGCTGAAGCAGAAAGACAGGGTCATAGAGCCCTGTGATGAAGTTGGGGGAGTGGCCATGGAGCCGAAATTGTTTTTTGCCCAAGGCAAGGGTTTGGCTATTGTGATGCTGAAGGTTTTTTTTTTTTTAACCTTATCCAAGGTAGGTTTTCAGAAATTACCCAGCCTTCTGGATGGAGTAGGAAGGAAGTTGTCAGACCTGTTTAGATGGTATTGCACAAGGAAGGCCAAGGGAGAGGTGACAGTAGTATGGAAAAGGGTCCCCACGGTGTGGACATGGAGGGAATAAGGTTCAGAAAAAATTCTGGAGGTAGAGCTCGCAGGACTTCATTGCTCAGTTGGATGTATGTTTAAGAGGAGGAGGAGAAACAAGGATGACTTCCTGAGGGAATGCAGTTTGGAAATGAACAACCCACGTCTTTCAAGCATCCTGAGTTTGGTAAACGTCTTAACAAGCCAGGCCAAGATGTCAGGTTGGATATGCAGGACAAGGGAAAGCTCTTAGTACCCAAGAAGTTTATTCCTACATGAACTAGGGAGAGGATGATGAAAGAATGCCCCCAAGCTCCTTGGAGCATTTAACCTTTGAAATTTTCCCAGCAAGGGAAAGCCAGCAGAGGAGACTTGACATAGCCACAGCATGAAAGATGAAAGGATAAAGAAGGTACACATACCGCTCCCCACCCCCGAACCTGGAATAATGGGAGCCCATCCTCAAACTCAGACTCATCCATCTGCTTGCCAGCTTTACTCATTCCTCAGGCTTGGCTCAAATCTCATCTCTTCCTCTTCCCAGCTCCCACTGCTTTTAGACTTTAAATAATTTGTTTCCATTATAGAAAAACCTGATTTAAAAAAAAAAAATGTATGTTGGTCTCCTCCCTGGACTGGGTTTTTTTTTTTTTTTAAGATTTATTTATTTTTGTTGCAAAGTCAGAGATGTAGAAAGAGAGGAAGATCTTCATCCGATGATGCACTCCTCAAGTGACCACAATGGCCGGTGCTGTGCAGATCTGAAGCCAGGAGCCAGGAACTTCCTCCAGGTCTCCCACATGGGTGCAGGGTTCCAAGGCTTTGGGCCGTCCTCGACTGCTTTCCCAGGCTACAGGCAGGGAGCTGGATGGGAAGTGGAGCTACTGGGACTAGAACTGGCGCCTGATTGGGATCCTGGCGCATTCAAGGCGAGGACTTTGGCCTCTAGACCACCACGATGGGCCCTGGCCCTTTTCTATTTTGTGTCTGATTGCTAATACAGAGCCTTGCCCACACCAGCCCAGCATATGGTTATGGCTGGACAGGAATGCTGTTCATAAGCTATCAGTTGTGGAATTTTGACACCTTCTGACAAAGGGGTACGTCCCTGACATGCTGCTAATACCACTAGAAATGATCTGTCTCAAAATGATGTGAGGAAGGGTATCAGAGGAAAAATCAAAAGGCCTCTATTTCAATCTTGGGCCAGCTACTCACCAGTAAAATGGCCTTGAAAAAGGCCCTTTTTTGAAGAGCTGAAAGGGTTAAATTGGAAGTCACCTACTGGCAAGACATATCCTGCCTACAAATTTATTGTAATAGTGGTGTCTCATATTGGAATGCCAGTTTGAGTCCTGGCTGCTCCACTTCTGATCCAGCTTCCTGCTGAAGTGCCTGGGAGGGCAGTGTTTGATGGCCTAAGTATGTCCCTGCCACTCAACGTAGATCTGCAGAGTTCCTGGCTCCCAGGCTCTGCCTGGCCCAGCCCTGGCTGTTGTGGATATTTTGGGGATAAAGCGGCAGATGGAAGATCTCACTCTGCCATTCAACTAAAGAAATACATCTTAAGAAAAATAGGAATTGAACATTAAATTCCAGATTTTCAGCTTCACTTGGGAAATCCAACAGCACCAGCATAAGGTTCCTAGAGGTTCTTGCATACCAACAGCTAGAAGATTTGCTTCCCTCTCTATATTTGGTTCATGCCAAGTGTGTCAAAAGTGTCCCCTCCCTTCCACCACTTGGCTGATCCCTATGAGCATTTCATTTGCAATTCTTAGGCTATGCGACAACAACCAAATGAGACTAAATAAAAATTAAGTTCCTCGGACAAAATAATCATATTCCAAGCGTCCAATAAGTACATTTAGTCAGTAACTACCCTGTTGGATAAAGTGGACAGAATTATCTTGTCACATTTCTTCTCATCTGCGTTGAATGAGAAAAACTTGAAGGTGTATTAGTTGCTCATCATAATCCACTTGTAGAAGTGGGAAATTATTGCTCCTACTCTGGAGGAACTTAATGCTAGTTAAGGAGATTCGGTCCATTTGTTATTAATAGGAGCCAAGTCCAAGCAAAAAGTGCAATTATCTGTTAGTGGGAGCTAGGATTAGGTGCTGGCAAGTTCCAACTGTTTCTGCTACAACTGAAGTTCTAATCCATTTCCTTGGGAGATCACTAGCAGGAATTTATTTGAAAGGCATCAAAGGACATATATCTTCTGTCCACTGGTACACTCCCCAAATGCCTGCAGCATCAAGGGACTGGACCAGAGTACGCCAGGAGTCTCTCATGGATGGCAGGCCCCAGCTATTTGAGCCATTGTCTCCTGCCTCACAGTGTATGCATTAGCAGAAAGCTGCAATGGTGGAGTGAGAGGGATGGGCAGACCTGAGACTCAAACCCAGCCTCGTAGGCCATGCACCTGGCCCAGAGCAGGATTCATGTTTTCAGTGTTTTGTATTCTCTGTCTTCCCTGGTTGCCAAGCAGGCTTGAAAATACTAGCTGAGGAGTTAGAAATAAAAAGTTGATCTTACAGTACTGGTCTTCTATTTCCCACCCCTCCCATCTTTCTCTGCCTCCTACTTTTGGCAGCTGATTTCCAACACATCTGAATAATGCTTGCCTTGACATTGTCTTCTAAAATATGCTGACAGGAAAACGTACACTCCCATTTCATTTGACTAGAAGGACTCATAACTCGATTTCCATCTAGAACTCCTAATCCTGCAGAGAAAAATAGCTGTATCTATCTATTGTCTTGGTTACAATAGCCCCATTGGACTTCCTCTGTACAAGTATCATCTTGTGCTGTGTTCCAGTGCTGGCATCCTATACATTCAGTTTCCATCATATGGGACTTCATGGCTTTACAACAGGATATACATTCAGTGGAAACTGTGCCTGATATTTTAGTGTTTCCCTGGGTTGGCAACTGTGTGAAACAATTCTCCAGGAAGGCTGGGCAGTGGCAGGATCACATGGGTGAACAGCTGATAACTCTGCACTGCTGTGGGTTGCCAAGCTAGGCTCTGATGTTCAGTAACTTAGGGATTTTTAAATAACTACTCAGGTTATAATATTTTCAGCCTGCGATGGATATAACTATGGTAAACTGAGAAACATCTTTGGGGGAGCATTAGAGTGAGTGTGTTGGCATCCTGTTACCTTTTTAGGGATTGTTATTTTAGAAGTGTTTCATACATTGATATTTATTTTTGTTTTTAAAATACCTTTTAAATCTGTTTTTGCAACAGCCTTTATTTTTTCTTATTTTGGTGATTGTTTTAAAGCTTGACTATTTGAAAGGCAGAGTGAAAGAGAGAGGGGGAGTGAGAGATTGATTCCATCTGCTTATTCACTCCCCCACTGCATCCAGCAGTCAGGGCTGGGTCAGGCTGATTCACTCCCTAAATGCAGCAACAACTGAGGCCGGGCCAGGCTGAAGCCAGGAGCCAGGAACTTTATCCAGGTCTCCTACGTGGGTGGTATGAACCCAAAAGCTTTTACCATCATCTGCTGCCTTCCCAAGGTACTTGAACAGGGAGCTGCGTGGGAATGGAGTAGCCATACCCTGGATACTCTGATATGGGATGCAGTGTCCCAACTGGCAGCTTAACTCAACTGTGCCACAGTGCCCACTCCCTGACATTTATTTTTTGACCTTTGTTTTGAAAATTTTTTATATTACATGATTTCTTTTTCCTTACATAAAAGATAAATTTAATGTACCTTCTTCCTGCCCCCCCCCATCTCCACCACCCCATTCTTGTCACTTTTCTGTGCAAAAAGATGGTATATTAGAGAATGGTCATGATATGATTCCGTTTACCATGTCAAGATACTGTGAGATTTGCAAAACAACATATAGCCTTACACTTCCCCTTTTGGGTTCCAGGGATGTGAGGGAGCACAGCTGCGCTTCAAACTTACTCAGTTCAATAGGATGCTATTGTAGAAAATATGGGTGTGCAGCCAAAAGAAGGGAAAATAACAGATCTAGGAGGATAAACAAGGTGTAAAAGATAAAGAAAAATAGGACGGGAAGCCTGTCATGCCTTTTGTGTTGGCACCTGCACTATATTTCCAGTAAGAAGTATGAGCTGTGGTCTGAAGATAAGCAGTGTCTCCAACAGGGTTATTTACTCATACTGAAGAACAATAGCCCTTTACTGTACAGGGATTATTAATGATCAGAGGGAAACAGCTTTAGGAAAATCCATTACTTCCACAGAGTAATAAATTCGCCAACAGGTCACACATTTCTTTTCCCTTCACTGCAGACAAAGCTTAGCATAGATAAAAGAGGCCTCTTTGTTCCGCTTTTATTTCCTCCTATTCAGGTAACTCGTGCCTCCCAGGAACTCACGTTACATGTTTTACATGGATTACCTCGTGAATAAACCTTATAACCCTTTGAAAAAGGTTTTACATTTCAAGAAATCGAGGTGTAGGAAGTATAGACTTTGCCTGTTTGTTCCATGGAGTGAAATCAGGATTCAAATCCAGGTTTATCCCCCTCAGAGCTCATATGTTCATTCTTTTGAATAGTTTCTGGTATTTTTTTTAGAAATGTAGGGAGAAAAATTTGAAAACTTTGGGGTGAGAAAGCCTACATGGTTTGGTATATTATTATTTTCTTTTTTAAAGATTTATTTTTATTATTTTTTCATTGGAAAGGCGGATATTCTTCCATCCGATGATTCACTCCCCAAGTGAGCGCAATACTATGCCGATTATGCAGGTTCCCAAAGCTTTGACTGCTTTCCCAGGCCACAGGCAGGGAGCTTTTTATGGGATCCCGGGCGTGCAAGGCGAGGACCTTAACCACTTGCGCCACCGCGCCGGGCCCATGGTTTGGTATATTATTATTTTCTTTTTTAAAGTTTTATTTATTTTTATTGCAAAGTCAGATTTACAGAGAGGAGAGACAGATTTTCCATCTGCTGGTTCATTCCCTAAGTGGCCACAATGACTAGAGATAAGCTTATCCAAAGCAAGGAGCCAGGAACTTTTTCCAGATCTCCCATGTGGGAGCAGGGTCCCGAGGCCTTGGGCCATCCTCCACAGCTTTCCCTGACCATAAGCAGGGAGCTAGGAGAGAAGTGGAGCAGCTGGGATACGAACCGGTGCATTCAAGGCAAGGATGTAAACCACTAGATGACTGCATAGGACCCCATGGTTTGGTATTTTCAAGAGTATCTTAGTTTTCTAGAGATTTCCAAAATTACAAACCTTTAAATTAAGTTTTCCTGAGTTTGTTTTAATCCCAATGATCAACTGGGTACAAGGAACTGAACCTTATTCCTAAAATGATTTTTTTTATAATTGCACTTGAAAGGCAAATTTACAGAAAGAGAGACAGAGATCTTCCATTTGCTGGCTCACTCCCCAAATTTCCACAATGGCCAGAGCTAAGTTGGTCTGAAGCTAGGAGCCTCCTTTGTGTCTCCCACACAGGTGCAGGGTCCCAAGGCTTTGGACCATCCTCTGCTGCTTTCCTGGGCCATAAGCAGGGAGCTGGATGGGAACTAGAGCAGCCAGGACATGAACTGGTACCCATATGGGATGTGGCACTTGAAGGTGGAGGATTAGCCTGGTAGCCACAGTGTCATCCCCAAAATGATTTTTTTTAAAAAAATATTAAAGCCCCATTTTTCTGTGTTTGAGAGTTTCACAGAAACATTGTAAATCATTTCACTCCAGTGAATCAAACCTAGCTGGGATTTAAAGACCTTAAGATTGAGCGTTATATCATAACTGTGTAAGGTTAAGCTGCCCTGGATAGAAATAAGTCTCTCCTCATCCCCTAAATAACAGTTTTTTTTCTTTTTTTTGTAGAGGTTTCAGTTCTTTTTCTGCTACCCTCTGCTTTTGAAAACCTCATTGGGAAAGCTAATTAATATTTTAAAGTGCTGTGAGTATTCAGTTGGGAAACCTAATCCAAACACTACCATGGATCTCTGAGCATGAGAATGGACAGTTCTGGGGACCCTTCTTGGTGAATTTATTCTAAAATCTTTTTCCATGCTGCAACTACGTGCCCAGCCTGGAAGTAAAGTGACTTTAGACACAGTTCCAGCCTTTCCCATCATCCTGGATCACATACCTGATACAGTGAGAAAAGAAAGGTAAGTCAAATTCCTATAAGGTACGATGAATGTTAAGATAGGAGTGTACACAGGCTTGCAGTGTGCTTAGCAGGAACACTGATCTAGTCTCTGAGTGAAAGGGGCACCCTTGCAGTAAAGGAAACCGGAGAACAAGAAGCAACAGATAGGCAGAGAGAGGTCATCTTGGTTATGTGAACTGGGCCTTCCTTTGACAATAAAGGGATCCCAGATCGAAGGATGTAGGGCAGCAGGGACATAGGATATATCACTGTTAGTAGACAATGACTGATTCTGTTTGGGTTGATCTACAGTGGTCTGCACAGTCTCTGAAAGAATCAGAAAGCACCTGGCAGAGAAAGTGGACTATACTGAAGTCATTAATTATGATGAAAAAAAAAATGCCTAGAGTTAGATCTTTCTTGAAAGAATGGAAGTCTTTACAATCACTTATATCTTGAAAATCAGCTTATTGCCTTTGCCTTTTTTGTCTGTTCTCTTGTTTGTATTGCAATACTTCCAGCAGTAGGCAAAGCCCCATGAGAAGCCAACATTTGGAATTTTGGCATTCCTGAGACCAGAGTCATACTTGTATAAATTTCATCTGGGGAGAGGGAATTTTCATCTGTACTCAAACTTCTAGGAGTTCATCCTAAGATGACTCTCCAGAGGTGGGAGGAAATTGTTCCAAAGGTGGGAGAAAGGAAGCAGGGCTGAGGCCCTTGTTACTAGTAGATAAAGGCTTCCTCCAGAAGTTGGTCTGGATACATGGAGTACCTGAGTATGTAGAATAGGTTCCCAGAGCCTCCTAGAACCTCTCACTGTACCTTAGCAGTAAGTGAAAGGGAGAGTGTTTCTTTCTAACCTGATCCCAAAATAAAAACAAGGGAAATCTTGTGGCAAGAAAAGTAGACAGTCATCTAGCCTTTTGAGCTCTTGGTCACAACTCTTCTGTCAGTTCGTTAAGTGGTGTTAGGCAAGATTTCCAATTTCTTCATCTGTAAGAGACATGGGATTTGGGGCCAGTGCAGACACTCAACAGGTTAATCCTTCACCTGCAAGCACCACATCCCATATGGGTGCCTGTTCGTGTCCTGGCTGCTCCACTTCTGATTCAGCTCCCTGCTACAGCCTTGGAAAGCAGAGGATGATAGTCTAAGTCATTGGGACCCTGCACCTGTGCGGAAGACCCCAAAACAAACAAACAAAATAACTACTGGCTCTTGGCTTTGGATTGACTCAGCTGCAGCTGTTGCAGCCATTTGGGGATTAAACCAGCAGATGGAAGATCTTTGTCTCCCTGTCCCTCCTCTCGGTAAATCTGCCTTTCAAATAAAAATGAATAAATATTGGGTCCGGCATGATGGCCTAGCAGCTAAAGTCCTCACCTTGAATGCACCCAGATCCCACATGGGTGGCGGTTCTAGTTCCGGTAGCTCCACTTCCCATCCAGCTCCCTGCTTGTAGCCTGGGAAAGCAGTCGAGGACAGTCCAAAGCCTTGGAACCCTGCACCTGTGTGGGAGGAAGTTCCTGGCTCCTGGCTTCGGATTGGTGCAGCACTGGCCATTGCGCTCACTTGGGGAGTGAATCATCAGATGGAGGATCTTCCTCTCTGTCTCTCCTCCTCTCTGTATATCTGACTTTCCAATAAAAACAATAAATAAATCTTTAAAAAATGAATAAATATGAAAACAAAGATATGGAATCATGAATGGTTATGGTATTATTTGATATCTAAAACTTTTTAAAAAAATATAGGGGCACCATGGCGTTATAGATTAAGCCTCTGCCTGCCATGCCAGCACCCCATGTTGGTGCCAGTTCGAGTCTGGCCTGTACCACTTCTCATTCATCTCCCTAGTAATGTGTCTGGGAAAGCAGCAGATTACCCAAGTGCTCAGGCCCCATACCCATGTAGAAAACCTTGAAGAAGCTCTAGACTTTAGACTGGTCCAGCTCTGGTTATTGGAGCCATTTGGGGAGTGAATGCAACAGATGGAATATCTGTCTCATTTCTCTCTGGAAGTGTGTCTTTCAAATAAAGTCTTTAAGGAAAGAATGAAAGAAAGATATAGGGGTGCGCATTTGGTCTAGCAGTTAAGAAACTAATTAAGATACATTGTTTCCCTTTTAAGATTACCTGAGTTTAATACCCAGTTCCTGACTCCAGCTTAAGGCTAATGCAGAAGGTAAACTACATTATGTTAACTCCAGCTTACTTAAAATCTGCCTTCCCAACTTGGTTTGGATTCTGTTGACCTGTGTGTGGCCTCTTCCCCAAAGGCTCTTGCTACATTCACATTCATCTTTGGAGTAGATTCCTACCTTGAAGCCATTGTTCTTGCTGTTCCTTCTTTCTACCAATAAGCACCTTAACAGGATTCAGGACTCCACCCAAATGTGCTGACCATCCCATCTGTGCTCATTTGTTCTGTCTCACTGTTTCATTCCTTCAGAATAGGCATCACTATCTGATCCATCATCTGCTGACTTAGCAGGAAGTTAGAATCAGGAGCTGAGCTGGGATTTGAAATCAGACCCTCTGATGTGGGATGCAATGTCCCCAAGCAACATCTCAAGTGCTATGTTAAACACCCAGCCTGATGCCTGTTTATCACTCTGTATCATAGTAGGTAAGCAGTAAATGTTGAGTGAAGGAATGACTGGCTCCCTAGGAGGGAAGTGGAAGGCCTGCAGAATAGTTGCAGTGTAAGGAACTCCTACCCAGATTTCTCAGAAATTCTATGACGTCAGCTCCCTTTTGTTCAGAAGGGATAAGGTTGCTGTGGGGGATCGAAGAGCAGAGCAGTCCAGCCCAGGGCACAGCCTCCTTAAAGACTTGTAGGATAACAGCAGGTTATTTTAATCCATATTAAGGTACCAAAAGAAATCCCTCCTTTGCTGTTTGTCATAGGAAGGAGAAAGAATCCTTTACCTCCCTCTGTCACACTGGCTCAGCCCTTTCAAGAAATCAGCATTTGAGACTGAGCAGACTACTTAGTGATGAAAAGCATGGGCTCTGACTATACATGGTCTGGGACTGAATCCTGGCCCTGCCTATTCTTCTGTGACCTCAGGCAAGTTACTTAGTCTCTCTTTGCATCAGGTTCCTCTCTTGTAAAATGGAGGTGATAGTAGTATCTACCTTATAGAATTGTTTTGATGATTGTGGGAATTAGCATATATATAAAAGCGAAAACAGTTATTATTACTACTACTATAATTATCAAGATACCTATCCTGCCCTCTGGGAGTTCAGAGACTTCACGAAAAAAAAAAGACATATCATGCAATAACTACAAAAGAGCAGTAGCTGACTGTGTTAGGAACTGGGGAAAAGGTGCTCCAGAAAAGCTTGATAGTAGGTGGGTGTCTGATAGAACTCGGTGGCAGCAGAAAAGAGGCACTGTCCACGGATGGCTCAACCAAGACAAACAAGCATGCCATAGCAGGTGCCTAAGGCCGGCAGCTTCCAAACTTTTGTTGTTGAGTCCACATCACAATTTTAAACACACACACATATACACACACACACAAATTTATTTTAAAGGCAGATCTTCAGATAAAGAAACACACAAAGAAAGTGATCTTGCATCTGTTGGCTTATGCTCCAAATGGCCAGGACTTAGTTGGCTGAAGTCAGGAGTCATGAACTCCATCTGGTCTCCTATGTGAGTGACAGAGACCAAACACTGACTGCCTTCTGAATCACAGTAACAGGAAGCTGAAATGGAAGCAGAGTAGCAGGGACTCCCAAGGGCACACCAGTATGGAATGCCAGTATCACAGCAGCTTAACCCAATGCGCCACAATGCCCTATTATTTTGTTTTGTTAAACATTTACTTAATTGTGTCAAAGACACACAAAGATCTTCCATCTGTTGGTTCACTTCCCCAGTTGCTCACAACAGCCAGGGTAGGGTCAAATCAAAGCCAGCATCCAGAAGTTCCATTTGGGTCTCCCACAGGTGAGACAAGAACTCCAGTACTCGGGCCATCATTCACCGCTCCTGAGAGCATGAGCAAGCAGCTGGATCCAAAGCAGAGGCCGGACGTGGTCTCAGCAGGTGCCTCTAGCGTTGGCTTGAATGAACTGCATAACAACACCTGTGCTATTTACCTCTATTTTATACTAGCTTGCCATTTTTTAAAATGTTAATTTTGTAGAAGCTGTATTTTAGACCATCTAAATTGCTCTAAATCATGAGTTTGATGGGTTATTCTAATAAACATTGAAATAATCAGTTACTAATATATCTAAATATGTATCCCCATTCAAACTTTGGGACACTTGTGTTAGAGGAAACTTGTCCCAACTATGGTGATAAACCAAAACTCACAAGCAACAACACATACAGGCCTGCACACAACATGGTAAGCACTTGATGGTGCATGTCATCCTAGTACTTTGGTTGTACGTGATTGTAGGCTTCAGAAAAGAGGCCAGTTTGTAGCTTTTCAGTCTTTCCAGTCTTTTGCTTTTTTTTTTTTTTTTTTTTTAGTGCTGTGTGTCTATACAAATTACTGAGCTGATCTGAAGCTAGGAGCCAGGAATTTCTTTCTGAGTCTCCCCTGCAGGTGCAGGGTCCCAAGGCCTTGGGACACCCTATACTGCTTTCCCAGGCCACAAGCAGGGAGCTAGATGGGAAGCAGGGCTGCCGGGACACAAACCAGGCCCATATGGGATCTTGGCACATGCAAAGTGAGGTCTTTAGCCACTAAGCTACCACACCGGGCCCTCTGCTCTGTTTTTACTCATTTTGGAATTGGGGTTGGAGTTGGGACAGTCAGGGAGATGAAAAAGAGTAAAGAATTCCAAGAATTGTCACAATGAGGTCAGAGGCTATTAGAACTTCAACTGTGAATATTATTCCTTGAAAACAGACTTCATAGCTGATTGAGACTGCCCTTCAAAGTGATCCTCTAAATAAATGAATACTTTCTGATGTTATTGTGAAACTCTGAGCAGACCAGGAGCTCTACCTGGAATACTAGTGAAGGACACAGCTCCCTCCTCAGTCTCAGGCTAATTGTAAGAGGTAATTCATAGTGGAATAAATGTCAGTTTCAAGCCATTAAATCCATGGAAAGAACACTCTTTGGGAACAAGCAGTTTTTCTAAATGAGTTGCTTTCTAAGAGCAAAGACTTACATAGATCTGTATCATGAAAGAGAGCAAGAATAAGAGGGCTCTTTAAGTTCTGTATGACTGATTTTGTTTCTAGAATCACAAACTTTCTTTAGCATGAGATATTTTTGTTATGCACCTTTCTGGGTGCTGAGAATTGAGCATTAAATAAGATGAATGTAGTTACTGACCCCGTAAGGATTAGCTTCTACTGGAGGAAGACAAACATCACAAACCATTACCTCAGTGATGAGGACTACAAAGAAATACCAAGAGCCGTGGGAAGGTGACTCAGCAGAGACCTGACCCAGTGTGGGTGGCTGGGAGGCAGAAGATCTTCTGAGACATCCTGGTTTACGCTGGGGAGCCTCAAGATGAGTAGCAGTTGGTTGGGTTAAAGGGAAGGGGTCAGGAGAGAGTCTTCTAGAAAGGGAACCTAATGGGTCTGTGTCCCTAACGTAAGGAAGAAACCAGTTCACTAAAACCTTTCCCTTCCCTTCTCTCTCCTCCCCTTTCCTTACTTTCTTGCCTTTTCTCAAGACTTGGAAGGAAGTGGCAGCCCAGACTTGTTCATAGTGCACAGTGAGGCCTGTGTTTTGGCACAGCACGTTATCCTGCAGCGTGCTGTGCCACCAGTCCATATGAATGAGTCTGGGCTGTTTCACTTCCGATCCAGCTCCCCTCTACTTTATCTGGAAAGCAATAAAAAATGGCCTGAGTGCTTGGCCCCCTGCCACCCATGTGGAAGACCCAGATGGAGTTACTTACACCTGGTTTTGGCCTGGTCCAGGCCTGGCTGATGCGGTCATTTGGTGAGGGAAGATGGACGATGCCTTGCTCAATTGCTGTCTCTCTATCTCTGTAATTCTACCTTAAAAAAGGCAGGGGGAGGGGGGAGCATGAAAGGAACATACACACTGGGTAGATAAGAGTTTTACATCCTTTTTTTCTGCTTTGGAACTTGGATTTTTCCTGGGCCACCTGATGTTGGTGAAGAGAGACATCACTTATCTCCCTCTTAAGATTAAACATTAATTAAAGTGTTTTAAAAATAGTTCTATTAAGTACCAATTGTTAGGACTGCTGATTGCCTTGAGTAAGCTAATGGCAGGGCTTGTGGATCAGATTATAGCCTATGGTCAGTTAGACGTGGAAACCATGGGAACCAATGAAAGATAGGCTTTGGAGAAGGCTGACAGTTTCCTCCTCTGGTGTCATGAAGTCAAGGAAGTTCCGTCTGCTCCTGACGGAGGTGAAGCAATCATGACTAGATGCCACAGACTCCCTTTCCCCTCAGAGGAACTGACTCATGTATTTTCATGCGAAACCATGGAGTTTTAGGGAGAGCCAGCAACTCAGAAACCTGTTTCCTTACCAGGAAAAATGTCATCATCTCATCTGTGTTTTTATTATGCGTGATGTTCTATCTTGGTTTTTATGAATTCCTTTTAAGTTTTTGTTTTAGTTTTTTTTTTTTAAAAACTCTGTAAAGCACCATGGAGTTTGGGGTTGGTACTGAATGTAACTTTGATCCTTTTAAACCTTAGAATGGGGTGAAAGAGTGCTTTCAACTTTTTCATCAGTTAAGTTTTAGTTCATTTCTTATTGCTCAAGAAAGGTCCCCAGGGTCAGGGCATGTAGGAAGGGCCATCAAGTTCAAAAGAGAAATTCTCTAGAGTTCCTTGCAGAGACTTGGGATTTCTAGATAAATTATGCACTCACCTCTGTCAGTCTTTAGCTACCTAAATTCTGATAGGCTCAGGACCACCCTAAAGTATACATGCCTCCCCCAGGGAATAGACATGGAGCAGGCTCCTTAGTGGCCTGGAGCATCCTCTTTCCTAATGCATACAAGCCTCTTTGAGTAAAACCCAGGAATCAAAAGTGTCCAAGTCCCAAGGCCTGTTACTTACACTGTTATTTGTCCTTGTCTTCCAAACATGTCTTCTTGTTAAAGTCACTATAATAGTTATTATTTTGGCTAACAAAAATCCTGCAGTAATAGGACATTCCCTTCACCCAGAACCCCGACCCCGACTCTGTCTTTCTCAAAAGTCTTTTACACATAGAAATGTCAAAAAGAAGAGATTATATTATTAAGTTAAAAAAAAAAAGAATCAAAGCCATCTAACATCTAGCAACACAATAGACATTTACCTGTAAGATGTCTTCAAACGTTCATAAAGGGCTGGATATTTGGCCTACAACTTTAAGATGCCCACATCCCATACTAGAGTGCCTAGGTTCAAGTCCCTGCTTTGCTTCCCTCTGCTAATGTAGACCTGGGAGACAGCAAGTGATATCTGAAGTGTTTTGAGGCCCTTCCCCCCAAGCAGGAGACATGAACTGGGTCCCTAACTTTGGCTAGAGCCAGGCTGTCGCAGGGATTTGGGGAATGAATCAATAGGTGGGATACCTCTCTTTCTGCCTCTGAAATAATAACATGTTCTTGGAAATACATACATATTACAAAAATGTACATATAGATTTAAAAAATTTTTTTGCACCAAAGTAAGCTTTCAATCCAATTTTTCCCACAAATCACTGCCCTTTAATACTAGGATGACTTCATGCAGTAGAATGAATTGCAACAGTGAGAATATCTGAATTAGAGATCTGTGTAACAGCATGAATGATTCATGGAAATATGATGGACGTAAAAAAAAGTTGCAGAACTTGTTTTTTGTCTATATATTTAGGAATTTTACATCTGAAGTTTTAAGCTCGCAAACCAATGCTTTCTAATGTTAAGTGTAGAGATATACATGACAGGAATACATGAAAATTCAATAGCAGTTGCTTCTGTAAGAAAGAATAATTTGGAAGGGATAACATGGGAATTTCAATTACATTCATTATCTTTTAAAAGTTAAATTTTTTATTTGAAAGACACAGACGTTCCTAATTACCTGAAACAGATGGGGCTGGGCTGAACTGAAACCAGGAGCCTGGAACTCAGTCAGGCTGGGTCCTCCCGTGTGGACTACAGAGACTCAAGCACTTGGGCAGTGTCTTGCTGCATCTCAGGGAGTGAATTAGCAGGAAGCTGGAATCAGAAGCAGAGCCAGAACTTTACTCAGACACTCCAAAACAGGATGTGGACATCCCAAGCTGTGAGTCAAATCCTTTAGGGTCTATTGAGACTATATTGCTATCATTCTCTGTATCTTTTTCTGTCCAAAACAGAATGATAAGAATTATGTCTTAAAACAAGACAAAACAAAAATAGCTACCTTTAGGGAATATTCTTAGGTTGGTTCTTATTCTGACAAGTCTTTTGAAATTAAATCGGATGTTTCAGAGTAGAACGCCAGAGAAATCTTTGGTCAGAGATTTTACTATACTCATTGTGCAGCTCTTACTGGACAACAAAGCAGATCAATGGTTTTGAGAAGTATTTTCAAATATACTATGATGCATGTACAGAGAGTTCATTCTAATAGCTTCTATGTGGAACTAAGGTAATAGACTTTTTTTTTTTTACTTTGATGATACCTACATTTTCAAATTAATGACTTAGTATTTTCTTAAAGATTTCATAGTTTTTTAAAAAAACTTTTTAAAAATTCTTTTTTTTTGTTTTTTTAAATAATTTGAAAGGCCCAGTTTCAGAGAAAGAGAGCTAGATCTAAGAGATCTTCCATCTGCTGGTTTAGTATCCAAATGGCCAGGCTGGCCCAGGCAGAAGCCTGGAATTCTACTTGGAACTCCCATGTAGTGCAGGGACCCAAGCATTTGAGCCATTGTCTCCTGCTTTCCCAGGCATGTTAGCAGACTGGCATGTTGCAGGCAGTAGCTTAACCCACCCACTTCACCACACTGCCGTATTTAAGATTTCATAGTTTTAAAGTAAGTATTGTCACTTACTCTTTGGTTGTCAGTATATCTAGTATTCCTAGGCTCTCATTTCTACATAGCAACAGCTGGTTGGAGCCAAGTAGCAACTATCCCCTTCTTCTGGGAAGACCAGTTTAAAGAATGCTAAAAGACAACGTTGGGCTTTGACGTGTTTGTAAAATGGCCTTCCATTGTGGGATGATGTAGAGAGAGAGCTGGTGTTTGTACTGCACAATTCTGGCAGCGCTACCCAACTGATCTGTTCTGAAAAAGCAGTTATTTCTAGACTAATTAAAGATCTTGATTTAAAAATGTACATCTGCCTAGCTGCCTACTATTGAATTGCACTTTGATACAAATTTCCCCTCTTCTATTTTGGTGGGTCTGAAGATGACAACAGCAACACGACAAGAAGTTCTTGGCCTCTACCGCAGCATTTTCAGGCTCGCAAGGAAATGGCAGGCGGCATCAGGGCAGATGGAAGATACCATTAAGGAGAAAGAGTACATACTAAATGAAGCCAGAACACTGTTCCAGAAAAACAAAAATGTAAGTCAGCTTCAGCTGCAGACTACATGGAGGAGGGAGTTTCTTATGGTATTTATTCATTTATTTTCTGTCCCTCATGGAGATGACTGAGGCAGGAAGGGGCCACAGGCACAGCGTGGCTAATCTGCCCAGCCACCAGGAACTCAAGTCCAGCTGGTACAGGACTCGGCATCTGCAGCAGACCCCACACACCAGGTGATATTAGGTCAGGCCAAGGACAGTTTTCTGAGGAGAAGCCCTTCCCCAGAACATGCCCACTGCCCGTCTGTCCCTGGGGAGGATACAGTGAGATGTTTTTTTAAATTCATAAACCACTCAAAGCCTCCCAATATAAACCATTCAGAAGGGAGAGAATAGGATTAAGACACAAGGTTCCCTTCATAATTTGGCTTTGAACTCAAGCTGCCTTGGCTAGCAGAATGAGGTTGCCCTTTGGAACCACAGAATTGAGTCAGATAGTCTCCTTGCAGTCGCTAACATAATGGGACTGTACACCCAGACAGCAGGGAGCCAGATATGACCCATCCCAGCAAATCATAAAGTGCTAGCTCTTAGCTCTGCAGCACAGAAAGAGGCTTCCAGCACCTCCCTTCCCCTTAGGCTCCTTCTCACTGATCAGATGGATCCAGTGCTGTCCCTGTTTGCTTCGTGAAACTTCCAAACAACTTATTGTCACTGTGCGCCCTCTCTGACCGCTATTTTATCTCTGTGGCCCATTGTGGCAGCCGTGAGGGTCCCCTAAAGGTTACCTTATGTGCCAGGCCAGTACCTTACAGTATCAACTCTCACATCTGAAGACACAGCCTTGGCCACAGAGAGACCACCCAGCAGACCTCACCACAGCAGAACTCACCTTCCTACAAGTACAGCCGCCGTCCCGACATGCCTGCCCATTCCTTGCACAGCTCCTTTTACCACTCTGTCTTTATCTCATTCCTCATCTGTCAAGAATTGGCCCACACGTGCCACACACCAGACCTGGGCCCTGGGGATATAAAGCTAAGACAAAGCTCTTCAAAGACATTTCAGAGTTGAACAGAAGGACATACAGTATCACAGCTCATGGGCCTGTCTCAGTAGCCCAATGGCTAAAGTCCTTGCCTTGTATGTACCGGGATCCCATATGGGTACCAGTTTGTATCCCAGCTGCTCCACTTCCCATCCAGCTCCCTGCCTGTGGCCTGGGAAAGCAGAAGAGGACAGCCCAAAGCCTTGGGACCCTGCCCTGGTGTGGAAGACCTGGGAGAGGCTCCTGGCTCCTGGTTTCTGGCTTCAGATAAGCTCAGCTCCAACTGTTGCTGCCACTCAGGGAGCGAACCAGTGGATGGAAAATCTTTTTCTCTGTAAATCTGACTTTCCAATAAAAAAAAAATCTTCCAATTAAAAATGCATTATTTAAAAATATTTTAAAAATCGCAGCTGAGACAGGTGCTGCCAAAGAAGCCTTCCTGATGTCTAATACCTTCCCCTTCTCAGGGTCCCTGAAGCCTTCCTGCTTTTTAAGAGTGAACTGCTAAAAGCTGTCTTTCTACACCGCTGACCTTTCTCCAACTCCTCAAGATTCTGCTCTGAGCATGGACCATGCTTGCCAAAGCAGAGTGCATGTACCCCAGGGGTCCTTGAACAATCCCCCAAAGAACAGAAATAAAATCAGACTGCTCTATTTTTGTATGTCATCCGTTAAAAATATCTGTTTATACAGACAGTCCCTGACTTAGAATGGTTTGAGATGTAGTTTCTCAACTTTATGGTGGTGCCTAAGTAATACGCATAAAATGGATGGTTTGTACCACTATAGGATAGCAAGTATTCACAGCATGTTTAAGGTGGCTATCGTAAGCTGTGGGGTGTGGTGTTCAATGCTTCTTTGATTAGTAGTATTTTCAATGTAGCTTGGGTTTTTGGGGAACACAAACCTACCATAAATCCATATAAATACATATATGGGAATTGTAGGCCCAGTACATTTTTATTCAGTAGGTGCCAGAGACCCCGAAGTAGTTACTAACCTTTTCCCCATCATTTCTTTTTTTTTTTTAAGTTATTTTATTTTTATTGCAAAGTCAGATATATACAGAGGAGGAGAGACAGAGAAGAAGATCTTCCATCCGATGGTTCACTCCCCAAGCGGCTGCAATGGCTGGAGCTGAGCCAATCCGAAGCCAGGAGCTTCTTCTGGGTCTCCCACACAGGTGCAGGGTCCCAAAGCTTTGGGCCATCCTCAACTGCTTTCCCAGGCCACAAGCAGGGAGCTGGATGGGAAGCGGGGCTGCTGGGATTAGAACCGGCGCCCATAGGGGATGCTGGACATGCAAGGTGAAGACTTCATTCACTACACTATCGCACTGGGCCCATTCCTGTCATTTCTTGACCAAACCAGATTGTCAGCCCCTCGAGCACACAGATAATGCCTTACACTTTTTCAGTATATCATATGGGACTTGCTTGTGGTTGTCACTAAACTAATAAGCATTGACCACTACTATGATTCACTGATCTTCTCTAAGAAATCTTCCTCAACGTTCCCCCACCCCCAAGTCCATGGTTGCCACCCATTCTGAATTTCTGTAGCAGTCCGTGGCAGTCACCGCCACACTGGTTGATTATATGTCATTGTGCCTCAGGTATCAGAGTTGTTCTGATCAGGTGTAGTAGCCTCAGTCACTGAAGGCAGAGATCCATGGCCTCAGCGTGTCCGGCCTAGTGTTGGGGCTATCATAGTATATGCCCAATGAAATTTTGCAACTTACTCACCTGAGTGATTCTCCCAAGTTTTCTATGATTGCAGTAATTTTTCCTTTGTTTCTGCTGCAATTGGCCCAACAGGTGAGCCATACAAATGTGTATGTGCCTGCTGGGAGCAACAGAAAGAGAAGATACATGGGTTTTTAATTTCAAATAGTCAACTGGTTTAACATCAGTTAGAAAAAAAAATATCAGATCCCATGCCTATGAGAGAGTCCATTTAGAGAAAAAATTTTCTATCCGTATGGGTGGTAGCAGAGATGGCACAATCATGCAGAAAACCTAAGAATGACTGAATTTTGTCCATTAGCCCTTGTTCAGATGAACAGCTGCAAGTCAAGACGCTCTGGCACCCTAAACCATATCTATGTGAGGGCCTTCTCCCCAATGCCTCCTACAGACATAAGCAGTTTCTTGTAACTTGAGTTGCTTTAAGAGCTTACTAATCCTAAAGTATCTTATGAATTGCTCTGAATCCCAGTGGGCCAAAGGCAACATGGAAATTATGCCCAATGTTGAATGCAGAGCAATAGCTTCTGAGAAGCGCAGGAGTCAGAAAGTTGAACTTTCGCCCCACGGGACTCAACAGGACTCAACTGTTCTTGGAACTCTTCCCCCATGCTCCAAAAGGTACCCTAGGACAGGAACGCCCTTGGACTTTCCAAGCCACATGAGCCCAAACTACTCTGTGGGTGTCATCTGGTGCTGATGTAATTCTGCCTCTACTTTGAGGCCACATATTAATTCATTTTCCATTCTCAGTAGGCAAGTTTCTCCCCTTTCCCTACTTGGCATTTTAATGTTTCCAAATGAACTCTGATTCCTTTACTTGAATGTGAACCACCATAATTTGACCACTTCGAAGTTTCAGGAATATTTTGTTTCCATTTCTTCCAAGCAGGGCATTTATAGTTTAAAATAAGAAGTAGATCATTCTTCAGTGTCTTCCTCAGGAGGTTTCTGGACAGCACTTGCTGAAACGACTGGCTGGAAGTTTTCATCTGTGGGGAGGCTGTGAAAAAGACCCTCATTCTGTGTAGGGAATAATATAAATTGGTGCAAACTCAAGAGAGCAACTTGGGAATATCTGTGAAAATTAAAAATGCATGAACTTAAAGCCTTTGTAACAGTTCCCTTTTAGATACATTTGCATGAAAGTAAAAAAAAAATTCAGAGGGCTCTATAGCAAAACTGTTTATAATGGCAAAAGGTTGGAAATAACCTAATTTTCCATTAATAAGAAATTGGTTAAATTATAATAAAGCCTTTTGTTGGAATTGGGTAGCATTGTCAAAAAGAATGGAAGTAAATCTGTGTATGTGAATGTAGTGTTAGTGAAAAAGGCTCAGAAGCAAGTTATCATTTGTGTAAGAAAAAAAATTCTCTCTGTACACATTACAATATCCTTGGAGGAACAAAAGGGGGACTGGAGACAAGAGTAACAGAGAGAGATTGAGTTATTATTAGATCGTTTGGAAATTAATTTTTTTTACATTTGCCTGTATTATCTGTTTTAACAATTCTGAAAGTTTAATCTACTATGAATTTGAATATAGGATTGTAATGACAATGTGACTAGTGAATGGAAAAAATACTTAAGAAAATGTATCCTCGTATGTCCTATACAATCAGAAATAGGCCAAAATGCCTCACCTGTTTCCCCTTTTAATAGCTCACAGACACAGACCTGATTAAGCAATGTATCGATGAATGTACAGCCAGGATTGAAATTGGACTTCATTACCAGATTCCTTACCCAAGGCCGGTAAGTGTGACTCCAGTTAACAGCTGGGGGGTGGGTACTTACGCTGTCAGTCCTGTTATTCCCAAGAGTCTCTCCAGGGCGCTCATGGAGAAGCACAGAGGGTATGTCATCCTCATGTGCCACTAACCCATCATGGTAGAGATGTCAGTGAATGCCTTCTGTCTTCTACTGTACAGCTTTGCCACATACAGAAGGGAAAGCCAGCTCCTATTTTGATAACTTCATCTTTTGACTTTTACATTTTTTTTAATGAAAATGGTTTTATTTTGCTTATTATAAAAAGGCTTTTTATTGCTTCTCAGCCTTTTGGAGTTTCTTGTTAATAAATGCATGAAAGTTCATACATGAAAGGAATCCTCAGAGAGTAAAAACTGTCAGAAATCCACATCCTCTGGGACTTACCACTGCGTCCTTAGATGGGACTCTGAAATTGCCAATATTCAACTCTGTAACATCCTAAAGCAGCACTTTTTTTTTTTAAATTGCTGCAACATAATAATTTAGCAATATAGGCTTTTCTTCTTTTCTATCCTTATGCATGTCTTTTTTTTTTTACATCTATGAAATTCTGGGCATGCTGTTTGTCTATTTACATCATCTCTTTTGGATATCTTTGCACACAGTTTAGTCTCAACCTTTTAAAAATGGTTACACCACATTCTACTGTTAAGAATGTGCAACTGTATTACAGAAAAACAGAACTAGTAGGATAGAATGTAGATGTCGACGCAGGTCTGTCTAGATTAAGGGAAATGCATTACAAAGCACCGGCTCCCATGATTATGGAGGCTGCAAAGTCCAATGATCCATAAGGCCCAGGAGAACACCAGTGATGGGATCCAGCGCAATTCTGAGAACTTGGGGGAGCCAGCATGGTGGCAGGAATCCCAGTCCAAGGTGAAATATCCCTGCTCAAACAGCAGGCAGGAAGCACATGGGGGAAGTCCTCCTTGATCCTCCTTTCTGTTCTATTGGGGCTCTTAGCAGATTGAATTGTGCCTATCCACCTCGGAAAGGGCTGCCTGCATACTCCATTGTGTCTACTCTCAGTGCTAGTCTCATCCAGGAACACCTTCACAGACACATCCAGAAATAATGTTGAGTGGCACCCATGGCCAATATGATAAACGTAACTACCACTGCCATGAGTTTTAAAACAAGATTTGTTAAGTCAGTACTGTAGTGGAGTGGGTAAAACCACCTGTGGTACTGGCATCCCCGATGGACACCAGCTGAGTCTTGATTGTTCTACTTCCAGTCTAGCTCCACCCAGCAGAGGATAAGCCCAAGTGCTTTGGCCTCTGCACCCATGTGGAAGACTCAGAAGCACCTGGCTCTTGGTTTCAGACAGGCCCAGCTCTTGTTTTCGCAGCCATTTGAGGAGTGAACCAGCAGACAGAAGCTCTATCTTTCCTTCTTTGTAACTGTCTTTCAAATAAAATAAATCTTCAAAAAAATTATTTCTTTATATGAAAGAGTTACAGAGAGGAAGAAAAAGAGTGAGATAGACCTTCCATCATTCCTTTACTCCACAAATGGCAGCAATGGCCAGAATGGGCCAGGCCAAAGCCAGGAGCAGAGTCTTCCACATGGGTGCAGGGTCGTAAACACTTGGGCCATACGCTGTTGCTTTCCCAGGCACATGAACAAGGAGCTAAATTGGAAGTGGAACAGCCAGGACTCAAACTAGCATTACATGGATACTGTCATTTCATGGGGTGGTTGAACTTGCTGCATCACAATGCCAGCCCCCACAGCCATGACTTAACCTGCTGTCTCTTAGTAGGCATTTAGATTAGACCTAATTTTTACTCCATGCTGAACATTTTAGTATCTACACATTTCCCCCAAGACTCTCTTCGCTGGAATCCCATGTTGCTGTGTGGTCTGTGATCATTTTCTATTTTAGGCACTTAACAAAGAACAAACATTCTGGAACAATGGGCCTAGGTTCAAATTTTGAACCTGACACTGAACTTGCAAGTTATTTAGCTTCTCTGAGCCTCCATTTTCTTACATATGAAAAAATGGAATGATTCTTTGTGAGATTAGTATAAGGCTTAATTTGAGCAAAAACCATAAGCTTAATGACTCAGTACAGCTTTAGCACTTAGCAGACAGCATGGTATCTTAGTAAACCCACAGTGAATAATACAAGCTGCTGCAATAAGTATAGCTTTCAATATCATCATCATTCTTGTTATTCAGATTCATCTGCCTCCAATGGGCCTCACCTCACTACGAGGCCGGGGACTTCGAAGCCAGGAGAAACTGAGAAAACTCTCCAAACCAGTATATCTCAAGTCTTATGATGAAGTTTCCTAATTCAGAAGGAAACTCATTTCTGAGAACAATGAGCCATCTTGATCTTGAATGTAAACCAGATGACAAAACCCATCTCCTTAATCAGGAGTAAAAATTCAAGTATCTTCTTAAGAACCTGTAAGACTGTGTGCTTATATATGCATAGTGTGTTCAGAGACTTGCTGCCTGAGTGGATGACATTAACCTGGAGGCCAGGGCTTTCCTCTCACTGAAATCAGTGTTGGAAATACTACTAAGGCCTGTGGGAGGAGGCATGAAGGTGATGAAGCTTCTCATGGGAATGCTGTTCACCACACAGACCAGCTGATGCAAACTGCTGAAAGTTCTCATGGCTGCTGCAAAACTGTGTGTCACCCTTGGAATGATTTTAGACATTTTGTTTTCCAAATTAAAGATTGGCTTTTTAGAAGTGTTTTTCCGAGTGTGCATTTTGGTTTCCTAAACTCCCCTTAAAAGGAGCATCCGTGAATTGACCATGATTTCTTAGAATTTCTGTGAGACGCATTTCTCCCCATACACATACACAGAGTTACATCTGTTAGTTAAATACATACATTTAAAAGATGCACTTCAGATCTGAAACTTACTGCATTCACTCTGTTCTAACACCAAGCTGACTTTCACGTTATGTCTAAACACAATGAGACAAACAGATCAAAAACACAAAGAATTTGCTTCCCTGCACGTATGGAGTCAGATAATCCCTTGTCAAGTTATTTGTGCATCATTGTCATTTCCTCTCGGCACCACCTGCCTCCTCAAAGAGGATAGGCATCACCAATAAAGACAAGCCTCTTAATTTTGTTCTTTTCGAAAATGAGCTTGTGACCCTCGGAAGAAGTCCTACTTCTGTGGGCATCAGCATACTTTTTTATGCCAGAATACAACAAAGAGAACAGATACGCTATGTTGATGAAGTGGTAGTGTATCCATGCTAACACAAATGTCAGCTGTAAGCCTTTGGTGAAGAGGCAGAGACAAAAATGTCAAAGTGAACATGCGACCCAGCTCCTTGAATTGGACAACAGGAATCTGTTCCTTCCAACCTGTCTGTTATGGAAAGCATTTTCCTGCCCAGAACTGATTCTCATATTTAAAGTTAAGTATTTCCCATGTAACAGAGGGCCTGTAAAGTCAAGCCGACTACTTTATCTGGTGGTCAGCCAGTAGAACAGCGATCTGTTCCTACACTGGAGGAAAAACTGATTGTTCTGGATAAAAGGAGACATGGCTTGCTCATCTCCATGATGCCTCTCTAATTAACTCAAGATGGATTTTTAAATGTCTTCTATTTGAAAGGCAGGGAGACAGATATCTACCATCCAATAGTTCACTTCCCACATGCCCCCAAAAAGTTTGGAGCTGTGCCAGACTGAAGCCAGGAGCTAAGAACTCAAGGTGGGTCTCCTATGTGGGTGGCAGGAACCCAATTACTTGGGCCATCATCTGCTGCCTCCAAGGGTGCAACTAGCAGGAAGCTGGATCAGAAACAGAGGTGGGACTCGAACCCAGATATTTGGACATGGGATACAGACGGCCCAAGGACATTTTAACACCTGTACCCCATGCTAACCTCTCAAAGTGACACTGTGCAAGGCCTGTATCACTCTACTGGGAGTAGTGGTCACCATTACCCAAATTCCTCCATGGTGGAGATCCATCTGGTTGCTGGCTAGCCTTTTGATACAAGCAAGTAATCTTACCACATGTGCATTTTATTGTATTTCCTTTGCAAAGGTGCATATACTACTACACAAAAACATATAGTTAATTTATTATCAAATCTTTCACTAACCTGTTTTTTTTTTAAGTCTTTATATATTTAAAGCTAGAACAACAGAAAGCCCAGAGTAGTCATAGCTGGGTGAGGCTGAAACCTTAGAATGCTATCTGCATCTTGCACATGAGTGGCAGAGACCCACATATTAGAGCTGTCACTTGTTTCCCAGGATGCATGTCTTCAGAAAGCTAGACTGGAAGCAGAGGATGCCAACGTCCCAACTAGAATCAACCACTGTGCCACAATTCCCACTCCATGTTTTGTTTTTAATAGCATTTCCTTCTGTCTTTCACACGAACTATAAAACCCCCCATCTTCCGCTTTTAAAAGGCAGAACCTGCCTTCCCTGCGACCTTTCTATCAGTGCAGTTTTCTTTGAATGCTGACAAGGAATGAATGTAACTGCTCAACAGCTAGATTTTTAAAGAGAAAGGAATAGCATGGTGACAAGGTTTGTCCGATGTCATCTGCTGAGCTATTTATAGAAGGAGCCTGCAGTTCCTCACCAAGCTGATCTCTGGCCATCTCTGCCTCAGGACTCCAGCCTCTAACTCACCATGATTTCTGACGAGCATATTGCTTTTCCCAGGAGGAGATATTACCACATTTGCCCCAACAGAAAATGACCTTAAATTTAGGGCAAGTTCTCTTTTCAAAGTGGAGGAAATTTTTTAAATTACAAAAGTTCAATCCATCATACAAAAACATTCTGTCCCTCGACCTCCAAGGAATGAGACATCCCTGCCTCCCTCAGCTTTTTGAACTGGGGCTAGATAACTGCAATTAAAATTTAGTTGTTCTTTTAGCCAACCTCCACCCTGCCAGCTCTTTTCACCTACCAGTCCACAATTCAGGTATTTGGGATCCCAACCTTCTTTCCACTTCATATGACTGATAATCTTACTTGGAACAATATAGTAGTTCCAGTTATCTGTTCTGATTTTTTAACACCACTGGAAAAACTGATTCCTAGAAAAAAAAAATAATTAAGCTACCTGCTTTGAACTGAAGAAGACTGACTCCTCACTGTCTTTTCATGGCCCCAGCAGGACTGGGAGAACCTCCCCTTCTGCTTTACCTCTCACATCACATGGATGGTTTGCTGATCTCAAAAATTCAGAGTCCTCAATGAGAAGGCGTCATAATGAAACAAAGTGAAATTTTCTGAACATGTTTATTTGGTTCAGAGAATCTTCTCGCATTTAGGAAAAAAAAAATCAAAGGCCCTTAGTCAGGACATCTTTCCTCATAAAGAGACAGAGAAGCCAGGCCAAGACACATTAAGATTCTCAAATAGTCTCATGTTTTTTCCCAACTGTAAGGGGACGACAATGGCATGTCCTGAAAGAAGCCACCTAGGGCTTCTTCGAGAATTTGCTCCCTCAGGACTCTCTTCCAGCTGACTCCAGGAATTGAAAGCATAGCCAAGGCTTTGGCAGGAAGGCAGCATATGGCAGTAAAAAAATGCTTAAGTTCATGAGCCAGACAGACCTCAATTCAAAACTAGTTCTGTAATCTGATAGAGATAGGGCATCTTAGGCAAGCTGAACCTCCAGCGGTTGAGACCATCATTCCCACTACTCAGGGCGAAGTTAGATAACTAGAGGCCTAGGCATGAGTGCTGACCCGGTATATGGGCAGCAGGCATGCTTCTCCTTTGTTGCTGAAATTCCAGCCCATCTGTGTAGGTTAGTAGAAAAGCAGCTGGATCCCTGTGCTATCATTGACAAGTTGTAGAACTTTGCACTTAATGGTTTTTAAACCTCTAAGTTTTTGCAATCTGGAGATCATGATAATTCATAAGATGGTTGTGAGTACTTGTCAAGGATATCAAGAGCCTTCACAAGCCGCCTAATGGTACACCACGTAGCTCAACTAGGAGAGATGTAATGGAAGTACAATGACAATTACAGCTAAATAACGGGAAAATACACCTCAAGGGAATGGAGTCAAATGACCACTGGTCCACACTGAAGAGTCTCACTGCTGATGTTAAATTCTGCTTTGGTAGCTACTCTCTTTGGGGGTATTACCTTCTCTAACAATGTATTCATCATTATCATTGGTGTGATCATGTCATGTGACTCAAGAAAAGCAAGCTAGTCTGTAGTTGAACATGAAATGCCTTTTACTGTTTGTCATCAGTTATCTAGCTGACAGAGAGAGGCCACTCCTCGGTTTATCCAGTGCTTTTGGGGCAGATTTGTAGGGAGCTCAATGGAGAGGACATAGTTGGTGGAGTGGCCAGTAGTAGAGAGCATGCCCCTTCGGGCACTGGTTTTGTAGACAGGACACACGTAAATGTTCTCGTGCAGAAAAAATGCACTCTTCCCTGGTTTCAGCCAAATGATAGGCAGTGGGTCATACAGGATTTTGGGGAGTGACTCCCCAATCTGCTTAGTTTTCCTGTCCCAACGAGCACCTTCCAGGAAGAGCCCTTTGATGTATGCCCCATCTTCTGGGCTATTCTCCATGACTGTTTCTTGTGTGGTTACCTGGAAAAGTAGAAAGCTATGAGTTCCATTCCCCACCATTTTCCTACCCAGGGCAGTGTTAGGGGGTTAGAATCTAATTCCCAAAGTAGAACCTGGTTGCTATATCTGTTTCAGGAGGCATCTCCAAGGACAAGGGAGCTTCTGGGGTAATCTCTCTGGCTGTGGTATGTGGGCCAGGCCTGACTCTTATTCAGTATGCCAACCATCTGTCTATAAGGTGAGCATGGAGAATGAACTAAAGTAGGACCCCATAGGCTACATTCATTGTAACAAGCTTGGTGAACTTGCATAATCCCCTCCTTTTGGGACCTGATTTACAAAGTTAGATTCAGGTTCAGAGGTAGGCTGAGGATGGGAATGGGAGAGATAAAGCCTTGAATTATACTTTCTGTTGATTTCTGAGATTTAAAAGGCTCATCTGGAGTTCAATTTGAAACCACCAACCCACAGCCAGCTCAAAAAAAAAAAAAAAAAAAAAAAAGAAAACACACAAGAAAACTCCTGGAAATAAAAAAAGTGATTCGATGATCTCATATCAGTGAGTTCCATCATACTACTGTTCAAGTTCAAAAGTGATGAATCCTTCATGTAAAAGCAGACAGTGGACTAGGGATAAGACACGGGGACTGGTAGAGATTCTGGTGAGCCAGAAAACAGCTTATCCCAAGCATGCGTAAATCAATACGCCAAATGCCTCCCCTAATTTTTGTGTATTACTCAATACTCATTACCATATAGATTCCTCTATTGATTTTAATAGGTGTGTTTTTAGGGTCTCTTAGTTATTTTTGTTTTATTATGATATTCATTTTGTCTTGATATAGTCCTCCATGTCCTGTCCAGTTCATTCATAAATTAAGACATCCGGTCACCAGCTAGTAATCTCTAGACTAGATTTTAAATGATCTATACATAGAATTTTAGGATCCTACCACACTGTATAGTAGTCTCACTCCCTCCCATATATGGGCACAGTGATAATTGAATGTTATCCTTTCTTTTAACTGTACCCTAAGCAAAGGATGACCCAAGGGCATTAGCCTACTTCCAGATGAAGAGTCTGCCATGTTGAATAGATAGCATGGGTAGATGTTTTCATTTTTCTTTGGAAAGATTCTTTCTTATATATACAAAGACAAAGCCTTGGGACTCCTCTGATCCTGCAGGAAGCTTCTGGGAGCCTCTAAGCCATCCTGAATATGACCATCTTTACCAACTGAGAAGCACTTGGGCCTTAACATCCTATTGTATGAACTTAGAAGGAAATG